CTGTGTAATTAGCTCGAGCGACAGTCACCGCATATATCGGACGTGATCACTTACCAATGTACTGTTATTGATTCTCATTAACGCTTTCAAGGAACTACCGCGCGGTTTTAAGCATAACGCTTTCTATTGTGATAACTTTCTTCCGATCACAACTTCTTCATAAGATTTATGCGATACAATACGCGTTTCAAGATAATGCTAAATTAAATGTTATCAGTAATTTTGGGTCATATTCTCGGGTGTGTTTTAAAGTTCTATTGTGAATTAAATAAAGTTGAATACTTGTAAGTGATGAACATTATATTGTGTTATAGCTTTATTTAGGTAGATATGGTTATAATTTTAGTAAATTAATTATATTATATTTTGTTTGCAGATCAAAATTTGTTTGTAAATGATAAACAAATTTCGATTTGAAAAAAAAAATTATGATTCATTAACAACTATAAAAGTTTTTCACTTACGGTATTACGTTGCTAAAAGATCGAGTACATATCGTTTATCTTCTCATAAATTTCAATTTAAATTTCTCCAGCGGAATATGTCAACAATACTTTCAATTCTTTCTTATTTGTAAGTTTTTGCGCAGATTTAAAAGCGAAAATATTAAATCTGTAAAGATAATAAATTTTCAGATTGTCATATCAAGAGTGGGTTAGGTAATTTATTGAAAGGTGCGCATTGAAATAACGTTTATTTGTGCGCACGCGCCGACGTGCGACGTTACAAATCATGCTTATCGTCCGCGCCCGACCGGCTCCATTGCCGCCGCCAGCCCTAAATCTACACGGATCTAGATATTCACATACCCCTGGGCTCCTCACCGTGCTTTGTGTCTTCATGTTGGAATAAAACTGCTCTATTAAGCATCGAGCACCGTTTTCGCGTTCGCCTTAAACACTACCGTAACAAAGTGAGCCGTAATGAAAGACAATAATTAAACGTAACAATAATAGTTCTCTTTAAAAACGAGGTCAAATTAGTGTCGAAACGCGGTGGCTTTATCTCGAAGGCGATCGGTTATATGTAATAGAAAAGTTCAAAGTTCTATTAGAATATTAAGTGTGAACCCTAATTGGTATCGCGTATCGGTGGTCAATCTCGGATTAGATTATCACGATGCAAATAGGAACAGAATTAATTAATGAGAGTCCGTTGGATTGGCCGCACGCGCACGGCGGACGCTGGTGACCAATCACCTCCGCGCGCGCTCGCTACAACCACTCCGCTACCAAGTTCTAATTGGCATTCGTGTAGGCTGATGTGGATATTCCTTGTCTGTTACTGCATACATTAGGCGGAATAATCATGACACCTTTCGCGTCCAGCCATCTCTGTCGCTACAATCAATTCATTGACGCGAATAAAATCATAGCCTTTTAACTATAACTTTTTATTTGTATCGTTTATAATGTTGCGGTAATTGTTAATAATAAGAAACATTTATTTTTAAATTATACAGGTTACTTATACTTCATAATTCGTTACAAATATTACAAAAGTGTATTGCTATGTTAACGATAAGTCATTTCGCCTCTGGGATACATCTGAACAATTGCGGTTCGTTCTTTTAGAATATCATCTTAAAATCGGCAGTAAGCTATATCTTTTCTAATCAGATATTTCCATTACTTAACCAGCAAAAACGATAATAATCTTAATTTCAAACATTTCGATTAAAGCTGTTCTACAATAGTTGCAGAGATATCGCAACTTGTGAGAAACGTGCACTTGCCTGACAGGGCCAAAGGTTAATACTTAACCGATGCTTATCATATTGGACAACTTTTCTTGTCAGTGACATTGTGTTTTGATTATGATCCTATATATATGAGTGGTAGTATGCTATCGGAGTTAGCGACTTCTGAAAGCATTCCTTTCATATCTTTGATGCGATAGCTTAGCGTTAAAATATTTAGAGGTTATTATTTTTATATGAAAAAATCATCATCATCATATTCGCCGTATGTCGTCCGCTGCTGAACATAGACTACCGAAAGTGGGAAGAAATTACACATGTAGGGAAGAAATTACTCACTTTCTGACAGATCATTGATGGGTATTGATATTGGATTAGATCATTGATGGGTATTTATATGATTGGCTAGGCCAAGTCGCTAAGTATAGAAACTTAAAACTGAAAACGACGGTTAGGAATTATTACGCCAAGGCTAAAGATATAGAAGGTTTGGATGAATATCCTGTTTGAAGTATTATTCGCATATGGATCAGGGTAGTTGAAAAATATTAAGTTTAGTAATATTATTACTAAGAGGATTAAAGTTTGACCACGTGTAGAAAGTAGTGACCACGTGCCACTAAGAATAAATTTTGAAAAACGAATAACACTAGATTAGGCCTGGTACTTATTATTTTTTTTTCCAATTAAGCTATTCAAAACTTACTTTTAAAAATGAAAGAGTTATAACGTTAAGTAAATTATAGTTAAAGTATAGGATGAAAATTAAATTTTAACAAAACCATGAAGTATCAGACCCAAATTTTCTAAAATAACTTGTCATAGTTTTAGTTATCAAATATCTTAATGTTGTGTGAAACTTATTCTGGACCTATTTATCAGTGAGTTTTTAGGGTTCCGTACAGAAAGGGTAAAACGGGACCCTATTATTAAGACTACGCTGTCAGTCTGTCTGTCTATCTGTCTGTCTGTCTGTCTGTATCTCAGGAACAGTGATAGTTAAACACTTGAAACTTTCACAGATGATGTATTTCTGTTGCCGCTATAACAACAAATATAAAAAAACAGAGTTAAAACATTTAAGTGGGGCTCACATGGCATGAGTACATGCGCGCCCCTACCCACTGAGGAGGGCCTGAAACCCGTGAGCCCTAACCCTAACTACATGCCCTAGCCCACCGGTTCTGCGATCGACGAAGCTTTAATAGTCTAAGGACTGAAAGCGTAACATCAGTTACACAAATACAATAAAACAGACATAATTTTGCCGTGCCGTTAAACAGATATTTTGCCGTTTCGTAGATAGGTACGTGGTTACGGAACACTTCGTGCGCGAGTCTGACTTGCACTTGGGTGGTTTTTTTTTTTTTTTTCATAAAGCCTTATCTGTTACATGCTATAGCATTTAGTTATTTTATTAGATGCAGGTTCAAATCCAGCAGTGCCTCAAGTTTTTTACAATTTATCTGCAAAAAAAGTTTAATATATACCTCTTAAGACATAGATGCTTATTCTCCCTCAAGTCTAATTTGAGCACAAAGGATGGTTATCTCCAGTTGGATATAGAATATATTAAATACCCGGTGGTTATCTTATACGAACCTCTTTGAAAGATTATCAAAAGCTCCGAACATTATGCGGTGGTAATGTCTAACAAGATCTATAAAAGTATAATTCATAATTTTGAAGTAAACTTGTAACATTTCAAAGTCTGTGGTAATTTTGTCTTGCTTTATGATTGTATTGTATATAGAGTTGTTATAGCTCAGTGTAGAGCCGTGATAGCTCATTGTCCGGGCACTCGCTTTTAATTCATTATACTGGAGCAACCTGTGTTCTAATCCCGGTGTCAGCACCAATGAAATTGTTTGATTTTAAGTGCTAATTTATCACGTCCTCAGCGGTGAAGAAAAACAATGTGAGTTCTAAGATATGTGAAGTCCGCCAATCCACCGTTGGGCCACGTGGTCGAATATGCCTTAATATCATCTGTAAATAGAAGATCTTTGCCCACGTATAACGTTTTGTATAGGCTGATATTTTACTTTACGTTTTATTAAGGAAATATTAAGAGTACAATAGTCAAATATACTATGAAATTATTAAGATGTAGGTATGTAAAGTTACATTAATAGTTAAAAGTTTTCATAGGTATGTATTGTACTCAAGCTGTGGGCGGATATTTTTTTTTGTTTTATATATTTTTGAAATCTACGTATAGCTGCCTCGGTGGTTATTCGCTTGGCCTAGCGCCCACAACCAAACGCTCGACCCACATTATTCCTACGATATAGCGATATTCATTATGCATTGTGTCTTTAAATGTTAAAAGAATATATCGATCTTTTCTATAGATCTTCACTAGGTTACAATTATTTTGTGCAGCATTAGGTAGATTTTATTGGTACAAAGAGGGCAAAGGCCCCTTTAGTGAAAACGATATTAAGATGTAGTTTCATATGCGAGTTCAATTAATTTCAGTAGTGTTCGTTTTATTTTTAACGTTATCTCAGATTTGTAGGTTTCCTTACGCTGAGTTTTTTCAGACACACAAGTGAGACACCATAAAATTGCAACTAACAATTCCTATGGTGCCGATATCTGAATTTTAAATTAGGTTGATCAAATATACTGAATTAAACGCGAGTTACTCAACAGAATTTTATTAAAATAAAATCCATTAAAATTTGTAGAAAAAATAAAATTCATTCTTTGTACTAAACATATTTTCAATTATTTTATGTGTACTTTGTTTAAATATATAAATTAAATTTCAAAGGGTAAAAGAAGAAAAAGTTTCACATAAAGTTAATCTTTTATTTTCTGCATGTGGAGGTAACAGAAAGGAACGTAAAACGGCAATAGTTTTTCATATTACAGCCTCATAAATAGGTACTAACATGTATCTTAATAAAATAATAGCGTCTAATGACATACTGTTATATATTTTCGAAGAATATATTAATCATTTATAATTAAGGCACTTTGTACATGGCTTAGGATACAAAAAATAGAAATTTAAGTGTATGACACTCGGCAAATGCCACATGACTAGCGATTCCGCCACATGGCGGTTGAAAATATCTACACAACTTAAGGCTAACTTAACAGCTTAGTTTTTATATATATCCTAATAACACGCAGCGCAATGGTTTACAAAGGATTAACACACAACTTGTTTTTTTACAATTTACAAAATAATTTAAACTTAAATATAAAGGCATTTCTGTAGAGTACTAAGAATGTTAGAGAAATTTATCTAAGGTACGAGATCGAAAAAACATCGAGGTCAGTCTTCTTAGTAAGCATGAACGGTGGCAGGAGGGGGCAAGTTTTGGTGAGCGTGTGATGCTGCCATGCCTTCGGGGCGATATTCGTAAGGAGAGCCACTGGGAGTTCCGCAACCACCTTCCAAGTGTTTGCTTAGGAGCGACATTCGGGAGAACGTCTTGCCACATCCGGTGCACGAGTATTTCTTGACATCGGAGTGGGTTTGTAAGTGTGCTCGCAAGTTCGACCTGTCGGCGAAGGCCCGGCGGCAATGGTGGCAGGAGAACGGCTTTTCCCCAGTGTGCGTGCGAATGTGTCCTTGCAGCAGCCATGGCCGCGAGAATGCTTTTCCGCATAGGTGGCACTTGCAGGGAAGCGTGTGAGTGCGAATATGCATCTTCAGGGCGCCAAGTGACGTGTACACTTTGGCGCAGTACTTGCAGCTGAAGGATTTCCTAGCGAGGCTTCCCTCGGCGGCGGCGCAGTGGTATTGCTGATGTTTCGATAAGCCGGAGTATGTCGAATAGGACTTGGCGCAGTCGGGGCATTGGTAGCGTGGGCGGCGCGGCGCCGAAACGGAAACGCCAGAGTCTGAGGAAACCGAACCGGGAGACCGAAGGTCCTCAGGGCAAGGTGGTGGCGAGCATGAGGAAGGTGGGGAAGCGGGTGAGTAACGGGGGAACAAAGGTGGGTGTGCGGGTGGCGATAGCGTAGGCGCTGTCGGGTAAAGTTCTTCCATGGGGTAAGTGTAGAGGGATGGCAAGTAAGCATACTGCGGTGTGGGTCGAGCAACTTCAGTGGGTGGTGGTACAGGCTCGAGTCGAGAACGACATGCGGTCAGGTAGTCCAGATGGTGGTGCTGCCACTCGCGTGGTTCCACTTTTACAGCAGCCGTCGATAAAGGCGAAGTTGCCTTGCTAGGATAATTTCCGGTCTTTGAAAGATCTTCAGGTTTTGTGCTAAGGTTTTCAGGCTCATCGTTTTCAGTTTCACCTATTGACAAAAAAGAGAACCATAATTAAAATATGCAAAATTGAATCACTGTATAATTGAATACTGTAAAAAAAATTACTGAGCTCTAATTTATACTTAGAACAGACATTTTTACATGACGTAACTACTCAGATAACGGTAAAAGATTCTTAGATGAAATTTTATATGTTACTTTATAAAATGTTATTTTACTATATAAAACTTACAGTGGTAATCGTAATAAAGTCTTGTAGCCAAGTGGGCGGGGTGAGGTGGTGTTGTGGGCGGTGTCGCCGGCCGCTCCTCCCGCACCGGCCGCTTCTTCAGCGGACAGTGCGCGTATTTCTTCGTCATCAGAGTGTCTTCCACAAGCATCTTGCACTGATACGCACAAACACAAAACTACGAAACCGCTCAGTTCTCGAGTCCGTGAATCGCTCGAAATCACAACGTCACAATTGTTCAACAACAGTCCAAGTGTCACAGAGCTGCGCGGGAGTCGACGTGTCGGCTCGGTGTTCGGGGCGCGACTGGCGTACGCATGCGCTCGTCGGCGTCCGGAAGTCGGAGTGGTGCGGTGAGGGGACGGCGGCCGCTTATATGCGCTCCCCGGCGGCAGCGGCCAGGTGGCGCGGGTAGGCTGCGCACGTGCGCCGTGCCCAATCGGGGGGCGCGGGCCGGCCAATGGGGCGCGGCGCGGGGCGGCGGCACCTGCGCCTCCGCACCAGGCCGCCGCGCAGCCTCTCAGTGCAATATGCCCAGCTACAGCGCCGCTCCAGCTCAGCCTCTCAGGCGACGGTCCAATTTTTTGCGCAACAGCCGGGGTTAAACACCTTCGAACCGAGCCATGCGCCTTTGTGAAAACGGTTTCGGCCGCATTGTAAACTCGCAAGCGAATCCCTCGCGTTTATTACTATTTTTCAAATCGGCGCATTGGGCATGTTTTTCATACCTCGCAACTTTGTTAGACAAAAGTTCAATAACATACCAAATTCTACAACCATTACAATATACTCATGTATTCGTGCATTCGCCAGGTGCTGGTATAAATAAATAGATTATATATCAAATAACAACTGGGTTATGAAGACTGGACGCTATATGAGACGACGATGACACATTAGTTTTAAATAGGTATATATAAGATCGTCAAGTTTATATCAGTATACCATTTGCTGCCTTCGTGGCCTTGTTCCCATTCTTACAATGGTTTCGATTTCCTTTTATATGCGTGTTGATAAAATCCATACCTATTTAAAATATAAACACGAAGAAACTGTGACAACGCTATGTAGTTATGTTTATCAAAGACTTGCCAAATTTGTAACTGGAACACAGATAATCTCATTAAAATCATTTAATTATTTATTTAATCAAGCAATTGCTTCCACTTTTCAAATAACTTGAAATAGTGCCCATGCTGACTAAAACCGGAATATGACTTGAGTGTTATTACTACTGTTACTGTTATTTTCGAGTAGCCAAACAGGGATACGAAACAGTAAAATAATACTTTACCTTTATTTAAAAAAAAAACAACATGTTTTTGTAAATACTTTTGGGTGAGGTGATTTTTTATTTAATTAAATTTTACTGATTTTTATAATAAATGAACGTTTACCAAATGATTTTAAATTTTTTTAAGTCTTAGTTTCTTCAACTCAAACCATCTTATTGTCTTAATATTAAGTACTAGCAGCAACATAAAATCGGTCAAACTGAATACTAATTAATAATAATAGTATTCTTAAATTTATAACTTTTATAAAAACTATGACTTTTGTGAAAATTGTTAAAATAAGTTTGTGATACTGCAACGACAAATATTGATTTCATATAACGAATGTATATTACATACTAATAAAGTAATAATATTGAATAAATGAGGTTGGAGAAATTCTTGATTTTGTAGCATAGTATATAGTTAACAGTGATAACTAAACAAACATTTCATTCATCGGGAGCCACGACGTGCTGTTTGACTGTCTGGTAATAATAATTTGCTGATTTGTGGACAGGGAAGTGTCAGAACCCGTTTGTTCGTAAAGGAACGTCGTAATAAAGATTGTGCTGTGTCCTAGCTGCCAAGCCAAACAAGATACGTTCTCAACCCCTTCTAATACGGAAGTACAATGTCCATTCTTTGTTGATACCTATAGAGACCAGTGTAAATTCCCACAGGCCTGTGTGATCCGTGGGCAATTTTGCGTTTCTCACAGAACCAGTTTAAGTGAAAATAGTTCACAATTCACACACACCTATTTTTTAAACTGCCTTTTGCAAGATTAAAACACAGAAACTTTTACTTATTTATTAAATTGTTTACCATGTTTTTGAAGATTAAATATCTCTTATAAATATTTCGTAAAAAGGTTATACATTAATTGATAGGCTCTTAGAATCATTGCTGCTAATAAGATGACCATAATCTAAATGAGGTGAGTCATGTGTGCTTTCAATTATGTCAAGGAATTGTGCACATCGTTGATCACTTAATGTTCTTGCCAAGATGACTAATACCTTGATCAAAGGGCGAATTAATAATTGCATTCATTATCACTTTGTTTTCGAATTGCAACTAGCCTTATATACGCATACAATGAACTATTAATCGTTAACTATGTTGTTATAATTTACTTGTGAATGAATTCTTATCGCATTTACGCGTGAGAAACGTAAACACGCTAATGAGGAATAGTAAACAACAAACAAACGCGTTCACAGAAATGAATTATATAACATTAATTAGTATATTTACTGTTTCCACATTTACTATATACTTATTACTATTCCAGCAAATGATTTGTGACCAAGAATTATTTTTAATATTACCTCCTTCTACCAATTATTATATATTTAAACAATTGATTACATATGCACAATGTCGTATACTTGACCTACCCAAGAAGTCTTTCACTTGTATTTAAAATTTGACCATATCAAATTGTAAAATATGGCGATTGAAATAATTTCAGATGGTATATAATATACATAGGATGCTTTAATGAGCCGTTCCAGTACGGCTTATTATAAAGGTAATCTCTATAATTCTAAACAAGGTTAGAATTATAGTTCTTGATAATTACGCGATGATAGGTGTCAGATCGTGTGTCGTCGCTTGGCGGGCAGGGGTGGCGGCGGGTCGGCGGGAGGGGGCGGCACCACAAGGGGGGTGCTCGGCCAGGTGCGCCGTCGCGGGGCGCGTGCATAACGGTCGCGGCACGAGCGCGCCGTGCGCTATGGCGGAAATAGCGATGGACAGGGGCGCCGCGAGCAGGTGGTGCTACCAGACTCGTCGCACAATTGGCGGTTAATTCCGCGCTTACATTACACGACGGACTGAATCACTGCCGTTATGTACTATACGTTTATTTTTGGCTGTTTCCGTACATAAGGTGCAAATGAAAAGTGAAATATGACCAATATGTAGGTGATTTTAAAAATTATTTAAATCATAACGCACATTACAAAATAAATCGTGAATGTGTATATAATGTCAAAACCCCTTTTTTCTTTAAAGAGGTTAAATAACACTAAGTGTTATTTATCTTTAATCTTATCGTCGTTTAAGTTCTTTTAAGTAAACACATGTATTCGTTAACGGCAGTGTCTTTTCCTTGGAAACAGGCATATATTGAAAATGATTGATGATTGAAGAATAATTTTTTCACATGGCATATCTACGATGGTATTGCATTTTTATACAATTAATTAAGTAATACTAATAAGCATTTCGAGAGTCCGTTATAAAAATCTGTTTAGTCAACGGCTAAAGGAGCGCCGCACACCTGAGCCGCGTCTATCATTGTGATCGCGCAGGCATTTGTATCATTGTTTGTCCGCTTACCTTTTACCTCCGCACATAAAACGCCACACAAAGCCACGGGCACCCACGAGCGCGGCGCGACCATTGAATTGAACCAGTGCAGCTATGTCGGCAGCTGGCAGCGCGTGCAGAATCACATGTCTGTACCCGAATCGCACATCTGCAACCGACCCCACCTCAGATTGGAAGGATCCTAAGCGTCACATCCATTCGTACGCGTCGCGTACAAAGTCCACATCCCTTGCGACGTTTCGTCTCTACGCGGAACGATTAGGGTCTCCCCCATTCATCGTTTCGAAGTTCAGCGTGGAAACGGCGCAAGCGATGATACCGTCGGTATTATTTTGTGACATTTTTCCACTGGCACCCTTTGTATTTCGGTTATTCCGCGGACATTCGCTTGCGCGCGATTCGGAGTTCAAAATCGTTTGTAATAAGGGCTATTTGTGTACGTCGCTCCCAATTTATTACCGCAATAAAGTTCCATTTTTGATTAAAAAGTTCAAATGGATATGTTCCGTTTTGATTTTGAGTCGGCGTAACTTGCAGGTAGGTGAGTAGTTTAATTTTGAATAATGGCATAGCTGTAGAGTTCTATATAAAGCACACTGGTCCATTCAGCGCTTTTATAAACACTTTTAATACAGATGGATTGAGCATATGGACATAGGATGCTCCTTTTAATATTGTCTATGTTAGAATATTAGAAATTATAATCGTTGTTGACTGGGGAGCTCATTTTTCATATAAGCTTATTTTGCATCATGTACTTTCCTTATGTAAAATAATAACAACTAAATCATTAACTCGTAAACAATAACAATTGAAAAGAGTATTTGGCATTTTAATTTTTTATATTGTTTCTTCAAGTCTCTTTCTTAAGTCATTATTAAAAAAAATTACAGTAGTGCCTAAACTTTAATTAGTACACGTTTTCTTATTGAAAACATTTGATTTAATCCTTCTCATCAGTTACTTTTTTATTACGTTACACATATTTTGGAACATACTGTAGTCGGTTGGCGGTAACAGCTGAGATTTGGGCACACGCTATGAACGGCCGGTGCGTCTCGCTGCTCCGGCCCGGCCACCTTTCACCCCTCGCACATTCCCCAGCGGCCTTACATTCGTCAGTTATTTAAGACTAATATATTTAAAAATTTCCATGTGCCATGCTATATGTGTACAGTACAACAGTAAAAGATGTTTGTTCATTTACTGTTTCAATGAAACAAACCCATTTTACATCAGAAAATTAAAGAAACTATTCAATGCCACTTAACTTGAAGACAAGACAAAGTATTTTTATAAAGATTTCATTGTCTTTTCATGGTATTTTGTTAACGAATTTTTTATGTCATTGCTTGCCAACACTTGGTATGTTGAAGTTTACCTTCTAATCAATGGACCACAAAGTTTTAATCACGCTACGTGTAATTTTAATCGTGATAAAGATAATTATCTATGAAGGCAGTCCAATAAATTAATTAGACTAGATATTCGTTTAAGATAAAGTACGGTCATTATTTAGGTCTTTTGCAATAGATTCAGAGTGATCTGAATACTTGTTCGATTTGATTTGTTTTGGCAAAATATTTACCGCTCTAGAGAAATTTCACTGAATCGTGTCATTTTAGATATTATTTTTTTTTCTGGGGAAACGAAAATAGCAAGGTTCCCACATACGTTTATTTTTTCCCCCAAAAGTAACGGTTATCCCGATTTTTTGCGATTCTCAGTGACGAAAAGGTATTTATAGTGCAATCGTAGGAAGGGGGAAAACCTGGGGTTGTTAGGAAGCAGCTGCATCTATTGCGCCGGAACAGGACCGAACAAGTTGATTTTTTGACACAAGATTAAGACAAGCACCGTATGGGTAGCCTTGAGTCACTATTAGTTGAATGCTAAAATCAGTTATAGTTACTAGACTCCACAGAGTAAGTAATTCGTTCATGGAGCGGTGTACACTTTACTTCAACCAAATCCTAGTAAAAGCGCAAAGCGAGCCTATTATTAATTATTACCTATTAATAATAGGCTCACTCTATTGAAGAAATGCCTCAAGCGGTTACCCTATCGAAATTAAACTGAGTAGTAGCTCGAGACGTGGATCTGTCAGAAGAAGATTAACATCAGAGAGGAATGAGAGATTCATTCGGGCCCTCTATGGCGTTCAAGTCCAACAGGGGCTCAGTGAAACTGGGTGAAAGCGATTGTTAACGGGTGTTCAATCAGAATAAGACTAAAGGTGGCTAATCTGAACCCAAAAAACCGGGTTACGTCCCTAAATTATTTAGCTAAGCCGACCCCAGGTCATCTAGCACCCGAACTACGTTTCGCAAGAGAACACAAGAAATGGATGGATAAACAGTGAAACTCTGCTCTCTTCTCAGTTGAAAGCAGATGTGTGCCTTCATAGCAGCGGTACAGGAAAACGAGTCTACAGATGACTTGAAGAGCGATTAGTCCAAGTAAACTAAAACCAGAAAGATTATGACCGCAAACCAACGGCATGAGTACATTTTTTTTATTCACGAGTGTAAATACTTATAATTAGGTAGTGTATTTACTCTACTAATTTTTTTTAAGAACCTTCTTGATTGAAAATTGGACTTAAACATTTTAACAGAATATGCTTTAAATTGGATTGGCTATCAATTACTGGAAATGAAATTTGTACAGAGAGCTTTTAAAAACAAGTATTAGAATTACGCATTGTCTACCTAAATTCATATTGAGTGGCAATTAGGTCTCATATGAAATTGTTTAACTTATATTAAAGATGTTACTATTCCAAATTAGAAAGTAGTCCTTAGGGTTAATAAATAAAATTTCGTTTACAGAATATTTATATCAATGCTACGGTAAACATTAACAACTTAACTTCAACGAAAATTATTCATGTATATATTATGTAGTTATGATAGCTCAGTGTCCGGGGACTCGCCTTTAATTATATTTACTCGAGCAACCTGAGTTCGATCCCCAGTGCCAGCACCAATAAAATTGTTAATTTTAAGACCTGACTTAGAACGTGTTCGGCAGTGAAGGGAAACATCGTTAGGGAACAACTGCATATTTTCGAAATAATAACAAAAAAAATATTTCGAAAATATGTGACGTCCGCCAATCAGCAGTTGAGTCGCGTGGTGGACTACGCCCCGATATACCCCTTTACAGAAGAGATCTTTGCTCAGCAGTGGGATGTCTATTGGGCGTTTTTTGTATATAGAGATAATACGTTCCTATTTATTTGATGCTGTAATATGAAAAAGATTTCAACAGATAAGTTGAAACACTTGTTACTAGCTATAATTTCACGAAATAGTTACTAACCTGTTGCAAGAGTAAAATAGAAATACCATTATGTATATAACGTTCAATTGACTTCTGACAGGCGTTTAAATGTAGCAATTGTCTAAAACTAAAGCGAGTCGGGCCAGTTAATACTACAATCCCTTATGTTCAGATCTGTCTAGATACCGTGACGAGACGAATACTCCAACTGAAAATTATCCGTTTAAAGTTGCAACAATCGCTCATATAATAGTACATTTACTGACACTCAGACATTAAGTGCGTCGAATGTAATTACTTAGAGCAAACGGCGGACACACCCGTTCCGGGACACCTTTTCATTTAATCGAAACTTGTTTGCACGCCCAACAAACGGTGTTCTGTTCGCGGAGGGCGGCCGACCCGCACGGCGTTGTTGCACCCGAAACTCGCACCGGTACGTTTGGCGTCGCCATCTTTTGATAGCTCTTTTTATGTGCATCGAGATTTATTTAAAGCGCGGCGTGGTTGCGCGTGCGCCGTGACAACTGAGATTGACGCACCTGGCCACGCGTTCGTCGGATAAGGGGCATGCTCGGCCTATGATGCGCTTCACCTACGCAATAGGTCGTATGTGCATCGAATTCATGCGCATATATATATATATATATTGGCTGAATCTGAAACAGGCGTGGCAAACGATGACAAAACCATAGCTGGATTTAAAATCATCACAGTTCAATGTATACTACACACTACACCCAAAAAATTATACGTTTTTATGTGAGAAGGTGGCAAACTAGCTGGAGTTCACCTGATTTTAAGTGATAACTGCAGCCTATTGCTATTATCAAACATTTGGGTTGCAGATTGCAACAAGGAAGCTTAGCTAGATTTTAATCAATAACCATTAAATGTTTCCTAAGGTGTTTAAGCTTATTTTTTCGAATAACGTTTGATTATTGGAAGCAATTACATTGTTAAGGTTACAAACAACAAAATCACATTTGCATAAGCGTGCGAATGGTGAATTTCGAACACTGACAGCGCATTAACCAGCATGCCGAAGACTATGACAATCAAGATTTTTCGAACATACCATTTTCATGCAGCATTCGTCTTTCGCATTGTAGAGTATTCGTTCCCTAAGTAGAGAATGTAAACTCGATATTTCTACCAACATACGTTTATATAAATATATTATGTATC